TTTACACTTTTGTATTTATGTTTATAGTTTGCTTTGATATTTGCTTAATTTATTAGATTATTATTATTATGGGGGCAGTACTGGTGCTTGAAATTCAAATATTTACTAAATAGTCAATTCTGATAACATTTGTTTGGTTTAAATAATTTGACAAACACATGTATGTGAAAAAGAAAAGATGTATTTATGTTCAATACAATACAATGAATATTTAGGTATTACATTATACATTCTAGGTATTCAGTTAGCGCATCAGACCCTCTCGTATGTCCCTGCCCTCCTCTGCACCTCAGGCATCCTGAAGTTCTCCACCCACTGAGTGTGAGTGAAAGATGGAACAATCACATTCCACCACTCGGTAGCTCGGTCGGTAACTTCTGAAATACACAAACAAAAGCATACATATTTTAATACGTAAAAGTGGTAGCTACAATTAATTAAATACTTGAAATACTTTGGTCGTATAGGGAGCGTGAGCCTAAACACATTGCTAGTTAGCGAACGTTAGCTTACCAAGTAGCATTGTAGTTAGTAGTGATTCGAGTCGTCCTGTAGTCTCTGCGGCGTAGGAGGACTGCCCGAACTCTCGCGTCAGCTTCTTCTATACCTCGTCTTGCTATAAGTCGCCTCTTTCGAAACAACTCTTGTCTATTTCTTGTGATAATAAACCACACAGCAAAAAACAAGCAAACGATCGCTTTCACATCTTCACATCCTCCATTGTTGTGTCGCATTGAAGATGACGTCACGGCAGTTTTAAGCAGCGTCGCTCCGCCTACACTGCGTTACTATAGATACTACCCCAGTTCCTAAACTGTAATGGAAATGCGCCATAAAGTGAGCTGGTCCTAACGAGGCCAATCGCGGCCCAGCCATACCGAGCGGGGCCGAGTGAGGCCGTGTAGTGGAAACGCGGCATTACTGTCACTGGGTTACAGGTTTGGCCCCTGGCTGTTCACCCTGATGGCTCCAGGCACAGAGGACTGTCTGAGGACGGATGAGTCTGAGGGTGGACGTACTCCTCATATTCATATCCAGCTGAATGTATACCTGTTTTCTTTATCAGGTTTTATTTTAAAATTGTAGTACTGTATTTTATATTGTGTAACTTTCCTGTTTGGGACAAATAAAGGAATTGTGATGTACCCCAAAGCTGTTTGTCATTTTCAATTTCTTTGACGATATTTAAAAAAATAAATGTGTCACTAGGTGTTTATAAAGTCTAAACATATCTGAAATATTTTGATATATTTTTTTCAAAACAATGTAAATGTTATTTGCATTATATCATGATGTATGCGCTTTTGTCTTCCTCTGATTTGTCGCTTACAAAATATCAATTAATAAATAGCACAACTTCCACTCTTATTCACATGTTTTAACAGATGAAACATTCAGGAGAGAGCTCTGGAGGACATGTGGTGGCTCTGAAAAGAGCCTTCTGATGAGGAGCTAACGTTTACTTCTTCGCTGGTTTTGCAGCTTTGGCTTTAACCACCTTCTTCACAGCTTTCGTGGGAGTCACTGCCTTCTTGACCACCTTCTTCTTCGGGCTCTTTGTGGCCTTCTTCACGGGGGTTTTCTTAGCAACTGCAGTGGGACTCGAACTTGGTACCCCCTGATTCAAAGTCCAGCACTCTATCCACTGAGCCACATATATGTAGAGAGTAAGTGTTCGGTTAGAAACCTGAAATAAAATCAGACAGCTCTTATGATTACATCTGGATGAAATAGAGGTTATTGTGGTATCTGCAAACACACTCATGTTTGGATAAGACTGACAGATGATCACTAGAGACCAAATATTAGCCTTTATCTGTTTTAAAGGAAAGACACTCATTATTTAAATTACAAACTAAAACGAACATGGTGTAATTTAAATAGTCAATATTCCCAGTTTTAATACAAACTTATAACTGTGACAAAGTTCTGTTTCAAGGTAATACAATATGATAGAAATCACCAATAATACTTACAGGTCTTTTGTACATTTTTAATGATCAGGAAGTCTTCATTATATTCTTCATCATAACAATTGTTCATTATGAGATTGATGTCATATTCTTTAGGAACATAGTTGACTCTGTTGTGAATTGAATATAAAAGTTGCCTTCTTATTTGACTGATGCATCAAACCTCTTGGTGGTAGAACTATTGAACTATAGCCAAATACAGTCAAGTAATCCATAATGATCCGTTTGGTCACTTTGCCTCAATCACAATGTTATGAACTTTTTTTATTGGCATAGTAACAAACTATATTATGGCCTTTTATTATTTTAGTATCGTTTTTACCTTTACATGAATGGAAGTTGATATGAAATGTTCTGTTGTCAGATTGTTATAGGAATGGTTCTTGATTACCTTCACAATAATAATATATGAGTCAATAAGGATAAACCAACCAAATGAAAGGTTGGACTAAACTCCAACTCACCCTTTAAATCTCTATCCCACTGTTTTTCAGTAGGATGGAAAGTTCCTATCTTTAAACTATTATTTGTTTTTTTCTCAAAACAGATTAGATTTTCTGAAGTGAATTGAACTTTGTTCCATGTAAGGTCATTATTAAAAGGTGATATTCATTTGTTTAGGGTTGACTAAAATAATGAGAAACATTTAATTTGGATAATTTAGTGACAGAATAAGAAACTCAATGCTGCTCTACTCACCTGTTCCATAGTTTCTATAAAGTGAAACAGTTGTAACGATAGCTTTTAGTAAACTTAAACAACCTTCCCCAAAAGCTATTAGGGAATATTCCTATTACTTATGTTTCAGAACTGCATTACATGGTTATATAAATAGTTTGAATGATTCATGACTGACATTAGCTTGTGTTTACACTGACCTGTTACTCATATATTAATGTCTTTGTAACTTCAGTAAACCTCAACAATTTCCCTTGTTTCATTCATCACGGTTCAGTATACTAAGTAAAATATGAACCAGTGTAATCATTATAATAACGTAGGTTTGTAACTCTTTAAAAAAGGTTTAGTGGCTCTTAAAAGAGCCGTTGTGTTTGGGTGTCCTGGTCTCAGTCACTAAGCCCTCTCCCCGCGGATGCGGCGGGCCAGCTGGATGTCCTTGGGCATGATGGTGACCCTCTTGGCGTGGATGGCGCACAGGTTGGTGTCCTCGAACAGGCCGACCAGGTAGGCCTCGCTGGACTCCTGCAGAGCCATGACGGCGGAGCTCTGGAAGCGAAGGTCGGTCTTGAAGTCCTGAGCGATCTCCCTCACCAGGCGCTGGAAGGGCAGCTTGCGGATCAGCAGCTCGGTGGACTTCTGGTAGCGGCGGATCTCCCTCAGAGCCACGGTACCGGGCCTGTAACGGTGAGGTTTCTTCACGCCGCCGGTGGCCGGGGCGCTCTTACGGGCAGCCTTGGTGGCCAGCTGCTTCCTGGGAGCCTTTCCTCCGGTGGATTTACGGGCGGTCTGCTTGGTTCTGGCCATTGTAGTTTCTCAGTGTTCACAGCGAGAGGAGGAGTGCTGTGTCTGTGAGCAGCGGATTTATGAAGGAGCTGCCGGAGCAGGCCGGGAGACACGTGCGATGTAGCTGCTTTTTTTTATTTTTTATAAAACTTTATTTTAAATTATTTGGCAGTACATGATATACACAAGTTACATTAATAATACACATAACACACAATGCATACATATATAAATAACATAAACAGAGAGCACGTCCATATTCCAGCGAGACTCAGTTCGGTCAGAGACTCAACATTTGTCCAGGGTTTTTCTTCTTAGTTCGTTGATAAGTTGTCCCACATGAGGCGACCTTTTACAGCACATGTTTGATCTTTATCTATTATTTTATCTAGTATATCTGTTAATCTATTCATTATTTTTTTTTGCTAGTATCTTATAATCAGTATTTATAGTTAAACGTCTGTAATTATCTATATCACATTCTTATCTATGTCTTCCGTTACTGCATTAAAATCTCCACCCAATACAATTCTATAACCCACCGTTAAAACCTCTCCAAGTTTTCTAAATACCTGTAACCCACTTGTTGCGTCAGGGGCAGTATAAATACCAACAAGTCGACATTTTTCATTTCCACAAAAACAATCCACCACAAGCAGCCCCCCCGGAACCACGTCCCCCTCCCTGAAGAAAATGCCAAACTCCATCAGCTCCGCCATCTCCGATGGAGACAACACATTCTCCCCCGTGCCACATCTTACACACATCGTCAACATCCCCGGTGGTATTCAGTCTAAGTTTCCGCGTAAAGAGGAAATCATAGTTAGTGTCCAATAAATATTTCATTTTCCTCTCTCGAAAGTTCTCAGACCGAATACCACGTACATTCCAAGTAGCGACGTTTATGAAGCTCATGTTGGTTTTATATTGTCTCTAAATTAGCCCGTTTTTCTATTTCGTTCAAGTTTCTGCTTCCAGGTCTCTTTTTTTTAGAGACCTCAAACGGGGCCTCCCTCTGAGCCTCACTCGGGGGTCCGGATAATCCGGAGTCGGAGAAAAAGACCCCGAGTGACTCTCAGGGGGCGAGTAGAGGGGCATGCTGACTCGCTGACCAGCTGTAAGGCTGTCAGGGCTAGAGTCAGATCCTGGGCTTTCGCTCACACTCTCATAGTATTTATCATCTTCAATCTCACTGTCAGAGCTGCACACACTCTCAACTGTAGCTGCTTTACTATTGGACAAAGTAAACCACTCCTCCACAGGGGATGATCCGGGGACTCTCGAAAATAAACGTGTTTTGTTTATGATTTTGTATAATAAAACCTTAGGTTTGTTTAGTTGAGCTGAGCAAAAATGAATTGTCCCTTTCTAAAGTATAACTATGATTCAATTTTTGTGAAAAAAATTGAGAATTTAGTCAACTCCCAAACATTAAATATGAGAATGAACGTTTGGGATCCAAAAATAAATCATTAATTGATCATGTAGTGTTGCAGAAACAGTCTTTAAATTGCACCACCTTTCAGTGTGAATGCAAGACATTAATCATGGACTTCTGCAGTCAAATTAGAACCCTTTATGTATGAGTTTATTTGTATTATTTATTTCAAACATGCAAAGCATTTTGTGTTTTTGACATTACTAAACGGTGAAGTGTTCTCTTCTTAAACACAATCACTTTGTATTACCTGTATCAATAATTCAGAGTGAATGCTTTAAATGTCAGCAATAAACACAATTTGAATTGTTGCTCGAGTTCTTGAATTTGTGGTGGCAGAGGCACGACATGTAATATAAATGTGTCCATTTACTATCGCTAAATATAACAGGATAAGCTCTTTGGATGGGTTTGGTGGCTCTTAAAAAAAGCCGTTGTTTGCGGTGTGTCGGGTTTACTTGGAGCTAGTGTACTTGGTCACGGCCTTGGTGCCCTCAGACACGGCGTGCTTGGCCAGCTCTCCGGGGAGCAGCAGGCGGACGGCGGTCTGGATCTCCCTGGAGGTGATGGTGCGGCGCTTGTTGTAGTGAGCCAGACGGGAGGCCTCCCCGGCGATGCGCTCAAAGATATCGCTCACGAAACAGTTCATGATGCCCATGGCCTTGGAGGAGATACCGGTGTCGGGGTGCACCTGCTTCATCACTTTGTACACGTAGATGGCGTAGCTCTCCTTCCTGGACTTTCTCCTCTTCTTGCCGGTCTTGCTGGCGGTCTTAGCGACGGCTTTCTTGGAGCCCTTCTTGGCCGCTTTCACGGGGGGTGCGTCTGCAGGCATGATTACAGGTCGAGGTCTGATAGCGCTATTGACTGCGCCGGGTAGAGCGGTATATTTATAGCCACCCTATGCAAATACAACTGCGTTGTTGCTCGCATCGGATTGGTCGTTTTCCAAGGTGGATGTAGCGTATTCTGAGGTGGACTGAGCATGCGCAAAAAAGACAGCTGGGAGCAGTTTTCTTCCAAGTTATATAGCTAACATGCCTCTTACCAATTTGACTTAACACAGACTAATGCAAAGTTTCTTCTTCCCACCAGGCCAACAGGCACCCAAAACATATATATGTTATAAAAGCCAATTAATCATTCCAGAGTTTAAGTGAAGTAAAAATGATGTTGTCATTAGCCCGCAGGTTATACACAGGCTTGATGATGCACAATTAAAGACAACGTTTCTGTGTTCATGCTAACACCCACGTAGTTGACGTGAAGTGTGAAAATAAATGGATTGCGTTTCAGACAACCAATAATGATGCCGTGAGAAATAATTTCCTGACTATTGAAATACATTTGGACTTTGTAATTCATGGTATTTACTTTAGGGCTTTCCCAAGTGTTCAAAGCGCCTTACATTACATATTAGACATTAATCCATTGATTACTGTGGACACTACCCACAGGACACACACACACTGTCTGAATCCACCATGGTATCTGATATATTGAATTAAAATATTCATCTTGGGTAACAGATAAGGAATGATGAAAAAAAAGATGAAATGTTAAATACTTATTTGTAAGTTAGTCCCGTTTTAGAGAAATAATTTTTTTTTAAAGTGTACCTCTCTTCAAGTGTTTTATTATATTTGACTCAAACATGAGTGATCTTAAAAGACACATAGTAAAAGGAAACTCTTTATGTAAATTGGGTGGCTCTTAAAAGAGCCTTTGGTTGGTCGATCTGACAGCTGCTTATCCCCCGAAGCCGTACAGGGTGCGGCCCTGCCTCTTCAGAGCGTACACCACATCCATGGCGGTCACCGTCTTTCTCTTGGCGTGCTCGGTGTAGGTGACGGCATCACGGATCACGTTCTCCAGGAACACCTTCAGCACACCGCGGGTCTCCTCGTAGATCAGACCAGAGATACGCTTCACTCCGCCGCGGCGAGCCAGACGGCGGATGGCGGGCTTGGTGATGCCCTGGATGTTATCACGGAGCACTTTGCGGTGACGCTTAGCGCCTCCTTTGCCGAGTCCCTTTCCTCCTTTTCCTCGTCCACTCATTTTGGAGTCTTGGTAGATCGGGTCGTTCAAAACGAATGAGTGGAAGCAGTCTGACCGGCAGTATTTCAATATTCACTGCGGACCTAAGAGAAGACGGACAGCGGGAAGGCTGCTAGGCGGGGCCAACGCTGCAGCCTCCACATCATCTTCCAGCACATTTTGTTTCTTTTAAATATTGTTTATCCAATTCGCGCAGGCTTTATACTAAAGGTTTGATGATTAAAGGTTCCTTAATATGTCATAAAACCCCCGAATAACATTTATAATTGAAAAAAAAACAAGAGACAGAAAATATATAATGTTTAAATACTGTATAGCCCATACAGTTAATGCTTTTGACATGTCAATAGTTGTACACGCTATACACAGACCCTGAGTTAAGTTGTGCTGCCATGGCAACAATGATGACATTAATAATCAAGAAATGTACCACATATTTAATGATACATTTAATATGCTAAGTAACAGACACATAAGCATAACACTGCTTCCATTCATATATTAATACTCTATATATTTGAGCTCTGACAAGCTTATAAAATGACGTTGGTAAATTAATTGCAATTTCGTTTCAGCAATGGAAACATTCTTGTTTTGTTGATAGTGATTTTTGACACATTGTATTGACAGCATAAATAATAGATATACGGTATATTTATTCTGCAGCTCAGAAAGTCAGATCCGACAGAAACTGTATAAAAATATAAGATTTGTCTCACATAAGAGTTAATTACTTAACTAGGGGGATCTAAATCAAACTAGACATGAATTATTCGTTAAATACACAAGTGACATAACAGATGAAGAGGTAACCTGTGTGCAATGAAGCGTCTCATGATATCTGTATAAATACACCTGTTGTAGAAGGATGGAGCAAGTAGGAGCCAAGATCCCTCCAGTGCTATTTCACTGCATGACAATAGTATCAAGTATTGTAAATAAATTGTATAATGCACCTGCATTTTATAAAAATTCTGGGCTGACATTTCTTTGATTGCTTCGAGCAAACTCAATACTTAATGGGTATCCACTGAAATTAAGTCTGCAGGGAAACCTATGCTCCAAGTACTTTAGTGCTGACTAAGTAAGAACTTAAAGATCATTATTTCATAGAGGAAAACAAGTCTGTATTAATTAGGGATACAGAAATGTGAAAATAACCTTCAATTTCTCAGGATAATATATAGTTAGACCCCGTTTTATATTTATGTATACTTCTTACACTTGTAAAAGTATGCATACGTTGTGTTTTAAAAGAGTCATTGTGGGGTGAGCTGTAACGAGGCTCAGTAAACTATTAACATGTGAGAAATATATGCATTTCATATTTAAGGGATTTACGTTTAGGATCCATGGATTATGCATCAAGTTGTACACTTATTCAAAACCGAGGAATCCATCTATAGAAGTAGTGGGTGGCTCTTAAAAGAGCCGTTGTGTTGTTGGTATATCAGCAGCAGAGTTTACTTGGAGCTGGTGTACTTGGTCACGGCCTTGGTGCCCTCAGACACGGCGTGCTTGGCCAGCTCTCCGGGGAGCAGCAGGCGGACGGCGGTCTGGATCTCCCTGGAGGTGATGGTGGAGCGCTTGTTGTAGTGAGCCAGACGGGAGGCCTCCCCGGCGATGCGCTCAAAGATGTCGCTCACAAAGCAGTTCATGATGCCCATGGCCTTGGAGGAGATGCCGGTGTCGGGGTGCACCTGCTTCATCACTTTGTACACGTAGATGGCGTAGCTCTCCTTCCTGGACTTTCTCCTCTTCTTGCCGGTCTTGGTGGGGGTCTTGGTGACCGCTTTCTTGGAGCCCTTCTTGGGCGCTTTCACGCTGGCTGCTTCAGGCATGATCAACGGTTGCGGGTTCACAAAGTAGAATGACTCCACCAAGACACAGCGTGGTCTATTTATATTCATGCGATGCAAATGAGACTGTGCTGTTGCTCGCAAGGGATTGGTTGGCTACTGAACATGCGCTGAACAAATCACCCTTTGAGCATAGTTTTGGAGAATAGAAGAGAAACATTTATTTTTATTGAAATCTAAATAGTATTATTATTTCAAATAGATACATTAAAATAGCTCTTCAATTACAGATATATAGATATAGATACATATATATCTATATATCTTCAATTCAATATATATATATATATATATATATATATCTAAGAACTATTTCAATTTATATTCAGATGTTTAAATGTTTTTATAAAATAATGTAATACAAAGTATACAAAAGTTACATTAATAATACACAAAACACACAATGCATAAATATATAAATAACATAAACAGAGAGCATGTTTGTATTCCAGTGAGATATTTGGTCACAGACTCAAAATGCCCCATGGCTGAGTCTGGGATTTGTCCAGGGTTTTTCTTCTTCTTAGTTCGGTAATAACCTGTTTCACGATGGTGTAGCTACTTATTGTTCTCTGATTTAATATCATCTTGCATCTTGTTTTCCAGATCTTCATACATGTGATGCAAATGACAAGCTGAAAAAGTTCCCTGTGTTTTATGTCCATCTTTTCATCAAGAATACAATACATGATTGAATTATATTTGACATTGAACTCTAAACCGATGCCTCGTAGGAGCGACCACACCTCCTCGGCTCTGTAGCAGTCCATGAGGAGGTGCTGTAAACTTTCGTCTTCCTCACAGTTAACCATGGGGCATGTTCTAGTTGTAACATAGCAGCTCCATGAAACCACAGCTCTGACCGCAAGTCTGTTGATCGATATCAGCCACCTCACGTCTCTCATGCTCTCTGAAATCTGTTTACATTTAACTAATTTCAAGACTTCGTTACCTTCGTCAGGTGTTAGGTTTTTGTATGTTATAAAACCTCCATATTTGAAATCATTTACCATTTTAAAAATCACTCTATTCGGTAGTCCGATCCAATCAATCCCTAAATGCTGAAGTTCAGTTATGAAGTCACTATAAACTAATTTGTAATATGGTCCATTTCTAGCTCGGCCTCTTTTTTTTTTCCATTCCATTTTTCCACCCTCAACCCAAGGTGCTTTCCTATTTATTGCAGCTGAGATATTTTTTACAAAGGTAATGTTGAGTTTAATGCCCAGGTCTATGGCTCCCAGGCCTCCATATTCCCTACTTTTGAATAATAAATTACGTTTAGTGACTTTCCTTGTTGTACCCCACACCACATTGACACACTGTTTGTTTAACTGTTCCTTTTCCTCTTACAGACATTTTTGGTTAAAGGTGGGGTAGGTAATTTTGGAGAAACCAGCTCGAGTGCGTTAGAATTTGAAAATACACAGCCGGAAGAAATCTGCTACTTCCTTACAGAGCCCCTCCTCCAACACACACGAACGCGCACATGACCAATAAGATAAGAGATAAGTTTGTGCACAGATGGAAGGCTGACAGGCAGGTAGGCCAATAGTGATGTGTCGGTCGCGAACGAGCCGATTCTTTTGAACGGCTCTTTGGTACGAACTAGGGGAACCGAGTCCTACTTGGTGAGAGCCGTTCTTGTTATCGTTCAATCGTTGGTCCGCACTCACTGCCTGCCAAAATCCACTCGCCTTTTAAAAAGCTTGATTTTGTTCCCCAAACGTATTCTGTGAAGACCCGCCCCTACTCTGATTGGTAGGTTTCAGCACGAGGAGTGAGATGGGGTGGGTCTTAACGGAATACGAGAGAGAGAGAAGTCATAACAAGTGGTACAGGACAGGTAGACAACGTGTTTTTCGGATGGAAAATGAGCCAAACGCAAAAACGCAGCAGCATTTGGATGCACTTCAACCAAAACCCAGGC